ATGTAGTATTTTTCGACTTCCTTTATACTACATAGATAGGAAAAATGTTGACGTTTATGCCACTATTTTTAGTTTTGCAATATTCCAATTAGTTTCGCTACTACAACAGTTTTACGCCGTGTCGGAGGCCTGTCCCGAGTTGCCCCGCTTGTCCCGAGTAGCCCCGGTTGACGGTAGGTATGTATAAAGCTAGTCAAGAAATCAAGCATTTACTATCTCTGTAAAAAAGTGTGAAAAGTGCGATTTTTGAAAAGTACCTCTGCTAAGGTCTGGAGCAAAAAAAATATTTACCGTATTAAAAAATTTTACTTACATAAAAGTTGCACCCAGGTGTCGGCTTGAAAACGTAATTGACAGAATTTGCCTATCTCATTAAAAAAAAAATGGCAGCCATTTCCGCACGGCGGGGCTACTCGGGACACCCCCCGGGGCTATTCGGGACACCCCCAAAAACGCATTTACAGTATAACCTCAGTTAGCAATGCAGTTAAGAAAAAAAAAATTGATTGAAAACAAAGAACTTTGATTACATTTACCTTGCCTGGTGAAAAAAATTCACTTATCAATAAATTAGTGCATCATTGGTCGTCACAAAATTATACATAGAATGCTATACATACAGAACATTGAGGCACTCCTGAAATGACTGACCCAATGCTAGAGCTCACACCTTCTATAACTTGCTTTCATACTCTTGCACCTTCTACAACAGTCTGAGTGGCTGTTGGAAATTCATTTCTTAGTCTTGCTCCCAATACCATAATAGTCCATCTTGGTGAGTAGGCACTGATGAGGGACCTTCTCAAAGGCATTGAAAAAATTAAGCATGATCATATCAGTTTGGTCACCAGGATCAAGGATCAGCTGGGTTTCACAGACCTCTCCTTCCCGAAAGCCATGTTGCGCATTGCTGAGAATTTCTGTTTCTGTTGAGATGGTCTGGGATCTCCAATCTGTTAAGCTCTAAGAGCTTACAGCCCATGCAGGTCAAAGAGATGGGCCTATTATTGGCTGCATGACTAGTCTCCCTTCTCTAAAACTGGTTGAAACAGGGCATGCTTTCAAGTGGCAGGAACAACTCCTGGGGACAGCAACACGTTGGAGAGTGCCTTCAATGCAGGTGCCAGTTCAGTACATAAGAGTAACATATAGGATTTTGTCTGGGCTAGCAGCTTTCCTGGTGTTTATACCTGNATTGCAAGCTTCATATCAGCAGCCATGTAGCATTTCTTCTGTATCTGTAAGCTTACAGGATGGTTTGTAATTTCACACAATTTTAATTGAGTCTAGTGATTTCACTATAACAAAAAAGATTGTGAAAAACATACCTGAAACAGAAAATAATGTTTTAGTGACAACCATCATATATTTTGGAGAAATAAATCATAGTTTTTGTCAATTACTTTCCATTCTATGATGCCTGGTGCACAATTCTATATAGGTACTGTATGCAGAAGAGGGTTGCCACAAACACTGAAATGACAGGCAATGATTGTTCTAACATATTCTTTTGTCAAATTGAATTCAGTGCAATTAGAATGCATGCCATGGGCTGGTCCTTTCTTACCCCATGAAGGCTGCGATCCTGTCTTACCCCATTTGACTATATATATTTATATGTACCTTTATAGTTTTTTGTAAATTCACTGTGGAACTTTTTCTGAAGCCATCGGGGTTACAACTTTTCTCTTCAATAAAAAATAGTACATTAGCAAGAACCCAAGAGCCCATATTTTACTGTACATAATTACGCAAAATTGAACAAATTCATGGGATACTGCAAAATTAGACTGTTGATTCCAATTCTACATTGTGTTCCCCTTAATTGTTACTTCACTTACATTCATTTTGCTCACTGCACAAAATATTTTTCCTTCCCAACCTTTCTCTCCCCTACTTCCTTACCAAAATTATAATGAACATATTTTACAGCCAAGGTATACGGTATATATCCACTCCATCAAATATTGTATATACTTCTTCATATTTTGAAATATTATACAGCAAGATCAAGTTCACAGTAAACACATCTTAAATAAAAGCATGAAATCCAATAAGGTGCCTCTTTCTATGTAACACGTTTTTTTAAATCAGTACATATATTTATATGTATGTATGGTAATAAGTGAAGATGAATGTATAAATAATACAAATACACATACAACTCTGAATGCATCTGTGTCTAAGCTGACATTTTTTGACTGTACAATATAAGTGTGCATATTCCTGGCTAATTCATTAAAAATGTAGTGCTACGATTCTTTTTGAATAAGTAAGCATTCTAAAATTATGAATACTTGACTAGATTATCCTGCTCAATTTAATCATGCCATCATTTTGCCTCATTCACATCATGAAATCACATCTGCTGGAGGGAATGCTGTGTACATAAAATTGCTTAATGAGGAATCAATTTTGTCAAATGTTTTGTCACTGGAAATTTACATTGTATATTTGCAAGTGTTTGCACTGCCCTAACGCTTTATATGTTGGCCATAGCTCTGACTGTCATGTCATCAGGTATGAATAACTTCAATGTCAATGAATGTATCCATAGACAATTTGTAACAGACGGTTTAATGTAAGTGTGCCTCATGGTACTGAACTCGATGTTGGGCTATGAGGATCTGACGACCTCTTTGGTTAGTCTCTGCAGCACGAGCTGCTCTTATTTGGATTTTACTCTAACGCTCTCGGTAGATATTTCTTATTTTTTTACAACTCCCAACATTGGCCTTTGCGCTGCGGTTGTACTCCAATGCAAAGTGACCATAGTTAACCAAATGCACCGACTTTTGCTCCAACGCCTTAAAGCTGAGCCAATGCAGATACACTCTAACGCTTGTATTCTTAGAAATTTTGTGCCCCCTACAACATTTTTCAGCTTTTTGTGTAAACATGATTTCACCAAGGGCTTAGATTCCTATATGTTTATTTTAAAGAAACCTTTAAAATAAACGTCTCTGACGTCTTGGCATTCTAGCCAATTGCACGAATTAATGTTTCAAAATTATTCTCCAAGCTGAGAAGAACAAATCAAGCTGAAAAAGCCTAGACGTACCGTATCCTTAATAGTAAAGCGAAAATAGTTGAATAGTGACACAAACGCTAAATTCTGCTGTTACTAGTGTGATGTTTTATGTAATAATATTCCATTGATGTATTCCACGAGCAAACTCATTCCAGAGAAATTGGAATTGAGTTCATAGAGCCTGATCAAATTTTCAGGTGACAGAAGTCTCTAACCGACGAAGCAGGGAGACTGTGTTCATTGTAGCAGGTTACTGGACAGTTGCCGACTTCGACCGCTTCTATGTAAACTACGTGTACTCGAGCCGCTATGCGTACTTTAACGAATTTTGACAGCACTGTCACTAGGGATCGTACTATCTAAACTCGCTCACGTTACTATCTGTCATCTGAACTCGCTCACTATCTAAACACGCAACAGCCGATTTCTCGCCTCTGATTGGTGAGTTTAGCTTGCCAAACCGTCAGTTATTGGCTGACGGAGTTAAGAACTTGTTAACTATTTGTGATATTACTGTCTCTGTCCGTATCGCCCGCCCGGTACTAACTATTCCACTGTTCTCAACGGTCAAGCATTTGTCCTTAACACGGCATCGCCATCTCCTTGACGAGGTCCGAATACATCTCGTCAGATGAGCGACGTCGGCGCAACGAGATGTGTCCGTACACTCAGAAAATTGAATAGGTCATATTGTCGAAATAGTGGCACGTAATTTCTTACCCACAACACGCGCAGTGAGCGGCCACAGCACTGATACGCCTTTGGCCTTTTACTGGGCCTAACTGGGTCATGATCATCGGCACAAGTGCATCTTTATTTGGACTAAGTTTCACCCATTTATCTTCGAGTAGCTTGTACGCTAGAGAGCGTCGGTCCGGGCTCAACCAACATGATCGTGTCGTAAAGCTGACTGCGGCACTTTGCACGGTATTAAATTTATTTACATTATTTGTAGAGCTAGACTGCTAGACAATATATACCTTTGTAACTAGTTCAAATATGTAGTCATATTGGCAATCTGCAATTCATCACTGATCACACTTGATATGGCATTTTTACATTCATCATCTTGTATTTATCGCTCATCCAACGTCTGAAGGAAAGAAGTGTCTGCCGCGACAGTTGCGTTCGTGGTCTGAGTCTCAGTGTTGCCATCAAGGCTCGGGAAGCACGTGCTCTGTGCCGACACTGCTGCTGCTGCTGCTGCTGCTTAGCTGCAAGTGCCACGCTGCGTTCTCGATCGTTTTTGTTTGCTTTTTTGTAAAGAATATTTGTCGAGTTGAAAATTTCCAAATTATATAATTATATGTAGATGAAATTTAGGTTTGTTTGAGTCTCAAATGAGTTAAATTCGATGTCGCTATAAATTGTAATTATTTTAAGAGAATTGATTTAATCGGCACATATAGCTTTATCTGATGCAGGACGCGTCTGTTTGTTGTTGGCAACGTAAAGTTTTTTTCGTTGATAGTGCGCTGATATACTTATGGAGAATCGTTAAAAGTGGCATCGTTAAACAATGAAATTATTGAATTACTGAGATATCGTTAATGACCGTAATTAAATTTCCTAAAGTGAGTCATTTCATTATTGACAGTGTTTTTGCCCTCGATATGGCCGTAATTCTGGGCCAATGGAAGCCATGTACGCAGTGCACCCGACTGTGCGTGGTAGTGATGAAGTTGCGTGGTGAAGGCAAGTGCGTGCGCTGGCCGATATGTGACTGAGGCCGCAGCCGCCGCGCGGCTCTCGCTGTACCAGTTCTCATCCAGCTATGGCAGGGGTAGTGCGTTACTAGCTTAGCTCCAGCTTTTGTGTGCAATAATGGAGACTTCATCCTATAATTATGCTGTTGCTGGAGGAAAACTTATAACTGATCTCAAAGTCGTTGAACTTAAAGCAGAGCTTGAAGCGAGAGGACTTAACAAATATGGAAACAAAAGAGAATTGTTAGAGAGATTACGCGCGGTGAGTGTTCGTACGTACGTGTTGGTTGCACTTGGTAAACCTTGCTATGCAACAAAATAACTGCCATAACTTTCTTTTCTAAAAATTTAACCGTCATTCACAAAACGATTGTTTAATGTGTTTGTTTTTACTTTATAATATTTGCATTTAAGCACTTAGTTTTGTGATAGTAATTGGTTCCATTGAATTGATCTAAAGTTGGCAGAGGCGCGGGGGGATGGGTTCTCCGTTAGGTGCCGCGACATTTTACGGACCCCTGAATTTCGTCCGGTTTGTTTGAGTTTCACAGGTGTTTGTGGCACCTGCCGGCTTCTGTTTAATCTTTACTGCAATGTTTACCTCTGTTATTTCACTCTTGATGATCAAGTTACTGCATGTGTATGTACCAAATTATACAATGTGTAAGCCTAATCTAGGTATTTTTTAGGCCAATATTTTTTGCTATTTTCACACTACCTTAAAAAGTTGCTAGGTTGAACAATTTTCCTGACAAAATATTTAATGGCGGATTTCTTCTATTTCAGTACCTGGCAGCTGAAGGAAACCAGACTACTACACCACCAAGCAATTCAAGGAGTTTGGAAGTCCCCAATCCCTGGGTAGGTTATGCTGTACAAGCAAATAAATCAAATTATTGCTCTTCAATATCAGAGCTGATTGTGCAATATATTTGATGTGCTAAATGATTGAAAAAAAATGGAGTTTTTAACTTTTTGCTGATGTTATTGATACATCTCTTGTCAGTCTGGAGTTGCAATAGAGACTGAACCTAAATAGAGAACCTTCAGTAGTGCACTTGTTGACAGTTGGGCACTTGACTACATTTTCATCTTAAAAGTAACAAGTGCCATTTAATCCTATTTCCCTGTGGGAAATTATTTTTATTTGTATTTTTTTGCAACATTGCTGCAGCCTGCAAGGAAGCCAGAAAATTCTTTGATTATTTTTTTTTGTGGTAGAATCTTGTTCCATTTTCCATTAGGCCATCTCATTCTCAACCTTAAATTGACATTCATGTGAAAGTATCTACTTTCAATCACAATTAACTGATCAATGTATCTACACAAAAAAGATTTTTATGTGCCATATTTTAATTCTTGAACAGCAGAATGTTATACTATGTATGAAATAATCAAGCGTTTTTGGGTTTTGGGGAGACACATTAATAATATTGCCTCAAACCTCAAAAGTGGATAAATAAAAAGTTCAAAAATTTCAGGAAAGCTGAACTGATTTTATGAGCCATGTTATTTTAATCTACAAACTTTACTTCAAAGGAAAATTAAAGGCAAATTTTTACAAGATAATGTTGGAAAAAGATGTGTAATGTCCTAGCATATTGTGATGAAATTATTCCTGGATGATAATTTAAAATGTTTATTTCAGTTGCATCAAGAGGCCAACCTTGAAAACGACTTCATCCGAGAGTATCTGAAGTCACAGCAAGCTCTTTTCAGGCAGCAAATTGGGGGAGCTCCCGCAGGTCAGTTATAATGCACCAATCTAGCAATATAAATACCGGTATCTGTTATGTTGCTAGGTTATATGGTAGTTTATATTATGAACATTTCTAGGAAAACCTAATCCAAGTGGCAAATAACTTGTATCTATTAATAAACTATTAGCAGGGCAATTTATCAATTACTTGTCACTGTATACTTATTTTTTTATCTAATTCTGATAATTTTTCAACATTTTTTGGCAGCCTATTTGCAGGGTCAGAATCAGAATATTTAGTGCACTTCATTTCATTTGCAACTTGGTGTAACAATTGTTATTGTTTAAACTGTATTTGTGATGCTCATTAATGAAATTCTGAAGAATTGCAAGCAATAAAATTTTTATCAACAAATAATTACTGTATTCTACGTACTTACTATAAATATATTGTGCTTTATGTCACAATAACACTGAAATTTATTTGCACAGATCTCACTCCTTCATCCGGCCCAACAGCAGAACGTCTCGCAGCAGCCCCAGAGTCGCCTGTAAGTCCAGCATTGCCTCTGAATCCTTTACTCACACACTTTGGCAAAAAGAGAGGCAGAAAGAAAAAGAAAAAAGACAAACTTTCATCCAAAGAACAAGACGTGTTCAGCACTAAATATTCTGACTCTGCAAGCCCTTCACCCTCACTCGAACAGCATCAGGCACAGCTACGATTAAAGGTGTGTAGTGTCTAGAAAATTTCCTCATTCATTCATGTAAAATCAAATTTTAGTTTTATGTTTCAGCTTATTCATGGATGAGAATGCAAAGAATCATTTTTTTTTATTTTCAATAACTGAATTATCAATTTGTTTTTGTTTTAATGCAATCGTATCATCATTTACTTTATTAGATCTGTTTTTAAATTAAAATTAGTAAGCTGACCTGAACGTCAGTAACTATTCGTAGACAGAAATTTTATTCAGATTTTATGAAGCCCCAAAAAGTTGTAGATTTGCAGTAACATCTTGTTTATTTCGAGTATCATTTAATTGCTGCATTTTTGCTATTCTCAGCTCAGTAAGGCTGATTATTGTTTACGGTAATCATTGATCATTATCATGGATCTTGATTTTCTGGTAGCCTTTATTAGTGAACATCTTTTGATTTTTTTGCATGTCAAGCAATTTCTGCCATTGCATAATTTTTAAAGTTGTATAAACTTTTTTATAAATCGCTTTCTCATTTTTTAGCTCATCATCTGCTTGCATGATTTTCCCTCTTCTTTTTGCATTTGACATGCTTTATATATCTGACTTGCTCTGATGGATAATGTGGGATATCAAAAGCTTCAACAACTTGAGAAGTTCGTAGTTCATGTCTCTTGTGAAAGATTATTTATTAGAAACAAGATCATTTTGTAGCCATATTTCTTTAAATTTGAATCTCTGTCTCTTCAGCACTACATTTTATTTATTTTGTTATTTACCAAACATTGCAAATGCATAATTCGATATTTGAGTATTAAGCTTCATATCTCTAATTATTTGTACAATGCTGGCTTCGTTTTGTCAAGCCATATCCAGGAAAATAATGGTCGTTCTGTATTAAAGTTATATCAAGACAGTTAATTTTTAATAATGTTCATCAAATGCAAATCTTGTTACTTCATTGAGAAAAATTTTGCTGTAGATAACCATTACCGGTACATCAATTTTTTTTAACTTATGGTAGGGGCTTCCTAGGACATGAGAAAGCGATTGTTATATCCGCTCTAGCAACTGCAGTATGAAAACTTTATTTTGGGATTTCTCTTGCCAAGGAAACTTGTTTAATTTAAAATGAAGAGTTCAGGTGACATATTCAAGCATCTACTTTATACTTTATTTTCATGCGATAGGAAATATCTTGACTACAGTAATCATTAATCAGTTCATATGACGTAATTTTTACTATAGTTGCTTACTCAAATTTTGAAGCAATCAGAAAACAAGAAATACCAATTTTATTTGAATTTACTTGCATTTAGCAACTCAGCAACTCAATACTAATACTTCAATGTACATGGATAATTACAATAGAGAATTCTGAAGCACAATGTTAGTTGTATGAAATACAACCAAACCTACTCGAAAATGTTTATCACAATCTAATAATAAATTGATCATATTCATAAACACAGCATATTGCAGCGGGCCAATTGTCCAATTGATTTCATTATAAAATTACTCACAAAAAAAGTAATAGTATTTTCCTCTGCGACATGATGGCTGTGTAGACGAACCGTTGACAACTGTCACTTACCATGCTGACGCTAAACAATGTATGCCTAAGATGGCACTGTAGCTACTGGTCCTTGGTAGCCCAGATGCTGGACCGTACCAGTGACGTGTGGTGTTGTATTACAGCTCAAAGCCTCAGCCTGTGAGGCAGTCGAAGCTTCTTCCTCGTCTACGTGGTGTGGTGACGATGTGGCTCAACGACCATCTCGGTCATCAGCGCGCACGTCTCGAGCCCTCAGCCGAGTTTCTCTCGAGGACGAAGACTCTACGCCGCCACTCACAGCCTCCACGTCTCCCTCTGAGTCGCCTTCACATCTCATGGTCAGGATCAACAGAGGCGTTGATCAAGACGATGCACTGCAGTCGCCACCTTCCAAGCATAAGAAAAAACATAAGAAGCACAGCCGGTCTTCAGATAAAATGAAAGATCCTGATGCTAAAGTACCTTCACTTAAAATCAAGTTTAATGAGTCTGCGTCTGGCAACACGTTCCTTGATGGTGGCGCTGATGCAAAGTCCAGGCCTTCCATTAAGAACCTTGTGTTAGGCAATGACGATGGCTCTAGGACAGAGCTCAGTGCAAGTGAAGTATCGCCGTTCTTTGTGAGTGCTTGCAGTGCCAGTCCTCAGAACTCGGAAGTTTCCTCTTCAATTCAAGATTTGGGTAGCGGAGGAGAGCACCTTTCACCCGGGACGATCACGTCGCCCAGAGCACTTGAACTTGGTGATGATTCCAAGCTAGGTTCAGAAAAGTTGTCTGAGCTTGAGACCGGTCAAAGTCAGTGGAGGAAAAGCAAGCGTCTCATTGCCGATCTCAGCGAGAAAGCCACACGACGCATATCTTCTCGAGGGCTGAACGTAGCGCCCGTTCCTGTTTGTCGCCAGGAGCAGCAGTCCCCTGATACATCCGAGCGAAGCAGCGGCAGCTCAATATCAGCTGACGATCACAGTAGTGCTGTCCAGTCCTTCAAGTTGTCTGGAAACAAGGATGTGGTACCAAAACGTTTTGATGGACTGCGAGTACAGCTACATCGCGACAGCATTCCAGCGTCATGCGAGGGCACGGTTATTTTGGAGAAGAAGCCTGGCCCAAGTCAAGACGGCCGCTCTGAACAACGGCTTAATGCACGTGGCCAAGATTTGCGTAATGCTCGTGAAGAGCAGGATAAACGTGAGCTGGAATTAAAACAAAAACGAGAACTAGCTTCGAAGGAGAATCATGAACGCTTTTCCAAAGAGAAGCTCGAACTTGAATTACGAAAGGAGCAGGAGAAAGCAGCGCAGGAAAAGCTGTTATGTGAGAAGCGTGAGCAGGACCTTGTGGAAAAGCGTCAACGTGAAGCTAGGGAAAGTCGTGAAATTGAATCAAAGATAAAATCAGAAGAAGAAGAGAGACGCAAGAATGAGTTAAGATTGAAGCAGGAACGTGAAATGCAAGCTAAACGAGAGTTGGAGGAAAAAGAACGTCAGGACAAAGCGTTGCGAGAACAACGCGAGAAGAAACGAAAGGAGGAACTTGAGAAACAGCTTGCTGAGGATGCTAGGATTTGTCAGAAAACCTCTCCTGTTGAATCATTGTCTGTTGTTAAGAGCATTAAAAAGCCCCGAATATCGCGCGCAAAAAAGCCTGCAATGACAATTGCAGCAGAAAGCGTTAGTGAACAAAAACTGCCACAGCCTCCGGTGTTGTGGCAATCGCCTTCGCCTCAAGTTATAGAGGGCAACCTGAAGCTTCAAAAGGAGGTACGGGTGCCTACGTCCGTGGACTTGATAGTATCACAAGTGACATGTGGACTTACCGAAGAGTCTGCTCCTTTGTCCCTACAAACTCAGCTGCTGCAGCCTCTGAGCACAGCCGTATGCGAGCCTACACCACACAGCCCAGCCATCCAACGAAATCCTTCTCGTCCTGTACTGCCCGTGATCACATCGCCTGACCACAGCAGCCTGGTGTCTCTGACGCCTGTACCTGAATCATCTTTGCATGAAACTCCACTGCTGAAAATCAGGACCAACCTCATGGCCTCTGACCTCCCCTGTAGTCTGGCGTCTGAGGCGGCAGCTGCTGAATCTCATCCAGTCCCGTCGGTGACGCTGCCAGCAGAAATAAAAAAGTCTAGTAACCCTTGCGTCCCGGAGGAGGATCTTGCCTCTTTCTTAACTCCATCCCCTGTGGTGAGCCCAAGAAGAAGTCAGGAATGTCACAGGAAGAGCTTTGGAAGTCCAACAGCCGCGACATCGGAAGATCCACGTCTGGCCACTGAAGTGCAAGACGCCACCGATTATTTAGTTAAGGAGCTTCAAGAGCTTGACAGCTCCTACGGCCGGAGGAGACGTAGCTTGGAAGAAGCTCCCTCTCCTGAATGCACGTCCACGAGTGTGTACACGACCAGTTTAACGAGCCCCTTGCAGTCCCCGCGTCTGTTGTCACCTGAGCGATTCATGTCTCCTCCTCCTCCTGCTGCTCCAAAGCTACCTATTGATGTTTCAAGCGGCACTGTAAACGTTACTTCAACAGAAGCATCGTTGTCTGATGCTACGTTGGTTCCTCAACTTCCCAGCGTTAACCTAGCAAGCAATGCTATTGTTGCTAGCGTGCCCGCTGTTTCATCAGAAAAGGTCTCGGTAAAAGACAAGACAGCAAATCCTAGCGGGCGAAGTACTACGCCTTGTCTTAGTTTACGGCCGATCTCGAGTCTCCTTGCACCTTCAAGCGTTCTCACTCCTGTCGAGCTTACAGTACCAGTTTCAGGTGTTACCACCAGCACTGCGACTCCATTTTCACAAGATAAATCTTATCAAAAGACAGCTGATCTCCCAAGCCATTTTATTGCTGTTACTGCAACAACGACAGTTTCTCCACAGTTGGTACCTGCACAAATTTCTTGTTCACCCTCGTTACCTCCGGCACCTTCTGTTGCCAGGACTGTCGCTGCGGTCGAATCCACTTCTGTTGTCGAATCCAAGAATCTATCTTCATCTGCTTCTGAGGATTACAAAAAGACATTCAAAGACACGAGCTTCAAGTTCCTTAATTTAGAAAATGTTCCTATAGCTGAATCTATGGATACTCTGAAAAAATCTGTTGAAGACTCCACCGCTACTGTAGGGAGTCGTAAAAATATTGTGCCGTTGCAGGCAGATATTACATCACTCGGTACAAATTCGACGAAAATTCACCCAGTCTTAGAATCTCGTGATGAAAAGCCTACCGTACTGTCATCAAATAAAAAGATGAATATCACTTTGCCGTCTGATGATGTTAATGTCACTCCGTTTGCATCAGTTGGTAATAAATCTAACGATGACAAAAAAGCTGCCAACTTGACATTAGCGCTTCACTCAAAGGTTGAAGTAGCCGCCTCGTGCCCAACTGTTAGCGAAACTTTACTACCAGCGTCAGTTCCCGCAACTTCTGAAGCTAGTGTACCGGAAATCACTGTTTCGGCTCCTATTAATTTGTCTGAAGATATGATTTCCCGCAAACCAGCTGACGCTAGTCGTGATCATAAAAACATAACAGCATCTGAACCGCCGAGTGTGTCTATAATTCCGTCGAAAAAAAGGTCCAAATCTGACGTTGAGCCGCAGTCTGATGATGCAATCAACCCAACAGCTTTTGGCAAACCGACCGTAATCACTGCCATGCCCAGCGATACAAAAACCTCTGATAATTCAATGCAGCCCACACTCAGCCAGCCTATAACTGCCAAGTCTCTCGTCGCCCTCACAGAAACGAAGGTGATAAAAGAAGCTTCACGTTCAGAAATTTACCGAATAAAATTGCCTGAAAATCAAGATTCTAAGCTCAGTTCTGGCGAAAGCGCCGATTCAAAGGCGAAGAAGAGCTGCGTTGAAAATGTTGTCCAAATTGCCAGACCGATTTCGCTGTCAACTAAAGAAGAGAAACAATCTAGTATCTTAGATCCGCCTACCGTTGTGGCAAAGCAAACCAGTTGCAAGGATGAGTCTACTCAAGAAAAAGTTGTCGTTTCCGGTTTGCAAGTGAAAAACTTGCATATTCAGTCCACCGTCCCCGGTGCTTCAGCGAGTTCAAGTGTTGTTCAAAAAATGGTAACTGCCTTTTCAGTGGCCAATCTTCTTCAAAAATCAGATCGATTGCCTTATACTCTTGGTTCTTCGACACAAATCGCTGCTGTTCCAGCAAAATCATCGATTTCAACCATAGTTTCCACTTCGTCAGCGTCTGCCTCTTCATCACGCACGTGGTCTTCTACTTCAATCGTTCCTGAGGCTAAAGTCGTTTCAGGTGCAAAAACTCACAGCGATAGCAAAGTATCATCAGCTGTTTTGCAAAGTTCGGCGTGTATCGAGCCTATTTCTTCATCGCTTGCTGAAAAGCAGTCTATAGCATCCGCTTCTCCCGCATCTTCTTTCTCCACATCAAGCACCGTAACCTCGGTCGCGGCTCCAGTGCAATCTACTCCAGACGAAACTAATTCAACACAGGAGCTCCCGATGCCTGTGTGCTCGAAGACAATGACTGAATACAACTCTTCAAATTCTTCTCAATTATCTTCCACTGCACGGTTCACGGCCGCATCGTTGACGACTGAAATCAGAGATACTGAGCCTGACAAAAAGCTTATTAATTCACAAATATCTGTTACTAAACCCATCACTGTCCCTCACACCGGAACAATTTTACCTGTCGCCTCTCAACTTTCTGATATCAATGCACCCCAAACACAACTCAAAGCTTCTTCTCCAACTAGAGTGTCACTAGACGAGAAAACGTTGCATCGCGCTTCTGAACTCGACTCTGACGCTCCATCTGACACAAAACCGAGCAAATCTATACCATCGTGTGCCCGGCCCGATGATGTTACGCATACACTTTTGAAGCCTGATGAAGCCACATCTTCACATACGCAGCCTTTAAAAACAACACCTAATGTTGTTCAAGCTAAACCAGCCACATCTCAACTCGTCTCTCCTGCTGCTTCAACGACAAAAACATCACCTCCTGCCACATCGGCTACTATTAAACTAAAAGATGTAGCCTCAATCTTTACTTCTGGGACTATATCTTGTGAAAAAATAAAGGAAGCAACAGCTGTTGTCACACAGCCTAAATATTCGCCACTTGCTAAATGCGATCTTACCCAAGAATCCTCGGAGCAATCGACGTTAGCAGTGCCCCGTCGCGTGCCAGATGCATTGCTTTCCTTGAAACTTGATAACAAAGAACCTGCGACTTCTCAACGATCATTTATATCTACACCTTGCACACAATCAGCCCCTGACATGAAAAATAACTTCCCTTCTGCACTCAGTACCAGCATTGCACAACCTGCAGGTGACAAGATACGTACCGAGCAAACTCCAACACCAATGACGTCAGCTAAACTAAGCTGTATCGTAACCTCACCCACCAGTTCATCTGCCACGTGTAGCGCCACTTCATCATCTCCCACTGCAGTGCAACCTTTCTCAGTCTCTGACATTCCTTTGCCTGCATCAGTTCCGTCAAATATTTTCGCTCCCGTGGCTGTATCATCGATCCCACTGCCTGCCATTTCTTCAATTCCTCTTCCAACGCCACCCGTTAAACCTGCACTGCCAACCCATCCGAAAATGACATCATTAGAGGCACTGAAGACCGCGTTCTCTGGTGCCCTGAGTGGAAAGACATCCTGCTTTATTTCGAAGAAAGATGAAGCTGCTCCCGCGCTTAGTAATATTACTCCTACCAAAGAACCCACTACTCTTAAGGCATTAGTTTCTACCGTTAGTCTATCGTCGTTATCGTTGCCTGAGTCTAGAGACAGTGTTAATAATTTAGTGAGTACGACAAAGATCGACAAATCTCCCTCTTCTGCTAGTTCATCATCGCCGGTGTCGTCAAGTGGTGACCTGAAGAGAGCCCGAGTGCCTTATAGTATGGTAATAAGTAAGCCTGCCAGCAAGCTAGTATTTAGTTCTGTGACCCAGTCTCAAAAACCCGTCTCCTCAGTACAAAGCCGTGCGTCAAGCACGACCACCATCGTAGCCTCTCCTGCATGTTCCCCAGCTGCTTGTCCTCGCAAGAGTCGCTGGGATATCAAAGGCGTCAAGGAATCTTTGGTCCCTGATGTTGGTAGTTCAACCTCCAAGTCTATGTCAACCGATGATGCCCACAGTGTTGAATCCCTCGGCAGTAATCAAGGCTTCCTAGGCATCAAAGCAGCTGAGACCGAGAGAACTGACAGCAGATCTACCGATATGACTCGATATGTACCTGCACTTGCCACCGTTGACAGCAAGACCACCAGTAATTACACCAAAGAATTCACTAGCAAAGAAAAGCCGTCCGTGCTCTGCGACGAAGAAAAAGCGTCTGAGGATGAACAACGGACAGAACCACAAATGAAGGCTTGCTCTGATGAGAACAAAATTAAAAGCACTCATGCAATTGAGGAGGGAACGGCTGAGAAAGCCTCGTTATCTGACACCAAACCCTCCTCGTCCATCACCAACGCTCAGTCGTCATCACCACCTTCATCGTCCATCGTCTCTGATGGCCGTGACGTTCCGTCGTCAGACGAGGTATATTATTGCTCTGATATCGTAAAGACTCATACTTATTTGTATGATCTCACTACTCACACCGGTCGTTATCTCTATGCATAGACCAGCCATTTAAATGCATTTACGGCTTATAACATTCGTTTCACAGCACATAACGGTCGTTTCAGACCATTTAGCCGTCATTTCGCCACATACAGAAGTGATGCTCCGACACAGAAGCCGTTTCATAATAATACTTGTCATTTTTACTTATATTTCGTTAATCATTCTAGCCATCTCACGCTTTTCCTTGCATATTATAGTCATTTCTACGTTCGCCAGTTATTTCGCTGCTCATATCAGTCATTTCTTTGCTCACATCAGTCATTTCGTTGCTCAAAGCAGTCATTTCGTTTCTCACATCAGTCATTTCTTTGCTCACATCAGTCATTTCTTTGCTCATATCAGTCATTTCGATGCTCATATCAGTCATTTAGTTGGTCAAAGCAGTCATTTCCTTGCTCATAGCAGTCATTTCTTTGCTCATAGCAGTCATTTCGTTGCTCATAGCAGTCATTTCGTTGAAAATATTCCCATATACTCTTCACGATCGGCAATGATGGTACAAATAATGCGTAATACGTGAACCGCGAGACGCATCGAAACTTCCCGTGGTTACCTGATGACGAGCTGTCAGTGGAAGATGGTAGGTTGTTGATGCTAAAATTGTAAGGATGTCGGATATAAAAACGTTAATATTATTCCCAATGCTATCGGTATTTTTTGCGCACCCTTGTTTTTGCGCGTGCCAGATGCATTGCTTTCCTTGAAACTTGATAACAAAGAACCTGCGACTCGACGATCACTTATATCTACACCTTGCACACAATCAGCCGCCGGCATGAAAAATAACTTTTTCCGTTATTTTCCGAGGAATCGATCGAATTATGAAAGTGAAATGGCTCTTATTTTGAATTAACTGAACTCTGACCTAGCTTTCTTAAAATGAACCCATGCATTAAACTTGATCGTTGCGACGCTATGCTAAGATTCATTTCTGTTCATTGAAGATCAACATTTCTATCGTATACTTGAGCTACAAATCGTATAGCTAATCGAGTATTGCTGCTGAATTTAACCGAGATACACATTCTGTTCAATTTCATCCGCAATTTTCTCTTTTTTTCTCGCTGTTGTTTCAACATTTATAATATTTGGAATACGATAGAATTAACTGCTACTTATGTAGGCCTATACGTTTCGAAGACATTAAGTCCGAGCTTTCAAATTAATTATTTTGGTTATTCAATAATGACTTCCAGCTAGAACGATTCTGAATCCTTGGAAAGTTTGTTCTGATTGGGTCTCACAATTGTTTTCGTTCAAATATCTGTAAATAAGTTTAAAAATCTTATAATCCGCATACCAAGGAAAAGCTAAGGAATATGCTTACTAGCTCTGGTTTGAACTCTCTGGACGATTCGCAATTTAATTGAAGTCGATTGGATTGCCTCTCATAGAAAAAAGCTTATGCTTTCTATTGGTTCTTGACTGTATCTTTTATCCATAGTTAACTGTTGGCCTCCAGTGATTCTATATTCACTGAAACTCTTGATCATTGCTTGATATTAGTGAGATAAAAAGTAATCAGTTAATTCTTATTGACAGAATCGTAATGCATGACTTGTTTAATGTCCACCCATCCAATCAATAAGACCAATTCACTTTAATTTCATTGTTTGTTTCGAAAAAAACTTCCGCAACTTGAACAAGGATAAATCTTCCCCACGTAATTTTTTAAATTTATGTTTATGACTAAGAGCGTAAATTTATGTTTATGACTCCCCAAGTAAAACTTGTCAGATATAACCGATTGATTGCATAAGTATGGGCGCAAATACTGTTAAGACTGCCATGATCCCATCCCTTAACTTGGATACGCGTGTATATCCGCGATGTACATGTGTTGCACTTTTTAATATTATTACAACACTTCTCTTTAACTTCACTTCTAGTTTGTCTGTCTGTCTGTCTGTCTGATACAAATCTCATAATGATATTTAACACACTTCTACCTGTCCAATCGATCTGAAATTTTGCACACTTGCGTAAAGTTGGAGACAATGCATGAATCAATTGACAGAATAAATAATTTTATAAATAAAAAAAAATTTTTTTCGTTATTAAAAAAATTAAAAAATAATTTCGTCAGCTACAAATCTTATAATCCATATATGACACAGTTTGACCTGTCCAATTGATCTGAAATTTTGCACAATTGCATAAAGTCAGAGACAATGCATGAATCAATTGACAGAATAAATAATTTTGAAAATTTAATGGGGCATTTCTTTCAAACCAAAATCGTCGTTCGAAAAATCACGACCAGGAGTTAGGGGTTTGTTGCCTGGAAATTGTAGTTCATTTCAGGAATTGGCATAATGCCCGGCCGATGTGATTATAAAATAAAGAGGATTAGATGTATTAGAAGCAAATGTTGACGATTACTCCACGAGTTCAATTGTTATAACGAAGAGCAAAAAAAAAAAAACGTTCCATGCGTTCCCAAAAAGATTTACTGTGAATTTATTTTGAATCAACAAATTTTAATGTTCACTTTTGCTTGCTCGTGTGCTCTTTATTTGACTGTATGAGAAGTTGAGGTAAATCGTCGCGGTTCGTTATCACGTGCAATGACGATTACCTATTCTTGTAGTAGTGCTGCTAATAAACTCCATCATACGCATCTTCATCTTGTCTAAACTAGACATTAAAGAAAGCTTTCCATGCGTAATTTTCAATTCGTTTCAATATATTTTGAGATAAATGCGGTATTGCTGTATTAACGGTGCAATTTTCAACCCTAAACTGAACGCATTTCTTGAAAAAATCATTGCCCAAAGTCGATTTCCATCTTGCCTTTCAAATTACGCAGATACTTAATTTTTTAACGTGAAGTAGGCCTGTGCAAAATGAGCTACTATTCTATCACATTACAATGGTTTGCCTGTGTGCACAGTTTTTTTTGTCTCTGTAGGCCTAGACACTATTCAGGCAAATGCGATATCCTCGTCATTGTTTGACATACCTTCAGGCAGCAGCTCGTCGTCAACAGTTTGTTTAGAACACAACACGCTCGTGTTGAAAGCCGCGTTGTTTCATCACGTTCTAAGAATACATACATGCATGAAGCGCTGTCAGACTTCACAAAGATCATATCCCTGTATTTATTCCGTGCATGGTCCTGTAGGGAGCTCAGGGCATAAAAATAAATGAAAACTCTGCTTCTTTAAGCATAGGGTATCTCATGTGAGCACAACTCGGGCACGATTGTTTTTTTAAGCATGCTGAATTTTAGGATATTTTGGTCTGAATTTAGAGTTGAGAATGTGGTGATAAACATTTATCGTTACAAATTTAAACAAGTGGTAAAACATTGTTAGGGCTTGAATAGCAAATAATTTTCAATATGCCCTCCTATTAGAGACGGTGGTAAGATGGAAACGCTCTCTAGTGTGCGACCGCGTACCGAATGACGCTTCTCTATTAGTTACTAAGCTTTCGGGATTTTGTTGTTTAAAATATATGTCTGACGTTTTCTTTTAATACTCGAAGCGTCGACAAAAACATTTACATGTGTATCTGTACAACTGATAAAGTTACAAGATTTGGGATTTAGGTGCGTTGGCAATGTGTTTTGTCTTGCTGTTCTGTTTCTTATTCATTTTTTTAGCAGATTTAACTTGTCTTGCTGTTCTCTTTCTTATTCATTTTTTTAGCAGATTTAACTTCATTCGATTATTTAATGAAGTTGTACCTGCTCATTCAACGATTCATTTTTTTTTTCATGAAATGTTTTCTACTAAAGCATGATGCACCGCTGGAAGATATTTCTCCACAAAAACTTTTAATTGGTAGAAGCAATATAATTTGCATGTATAAGAATGTCAATATAATTTTAATTTTTATGAGTTGCATGGATTTTTTTTATTGCATTTCTATGCAATTTATTTGTGATAATGATCTAAAAATTGCTGCTCATCGTGCGGTGAATGATCTTTATTGGGAGAATCTTAATTCCTTCCTGAAGTGCCTACTTCTCTATCGAAAAGCAGCCAAGCGTTTTGTGATTTTTTTTTCAACTCGGGATTGCGTAAATTTGCAACTTTTTTGTAGTTGCAATTTATTTATCATTGAGCTCTGCATTGCTGCATGCACCAGAACAAAGTAAATGATCATTGTGGAAAAGTTGGAAGAAAATCTTATATGTATACTATGAACAACCGTCACTTTCAGGACTAACCTCGGCAGGCCTTAAACCTTTGTGTACGTGCTATTCGTATCTGCAGGCTTATCTGCAGAGTTTCCGTTTGGATACAAATGTTTACAATTTGTCTGCGAGCAAATGAACTGTCGTCAACGCTAACCGTATCCCTGTCGACGAAGGATTAGAATAAGAGGAAATATATTTATTGGAAGCTATAGGGAACTTAGGAGCTTTTAACACGAATCCGATGATTCGCTCTATAAACTATTGAATGTTATGACTGCGTGGAAACATCTGGCTTCTTCAACCTCTTTCACTTCTCTAAAGCTTATGACAGAGTTTCATATGAGACAGTAAACTCCAGGGTAATTAAATAACTAAAATATTCAGCAACTGAAACGGGTATTTGTATTTATCTACTCCTTAAATTCGATGAAATCGTAACGCTGGCCCAACTTTCCTTTGCTACGGAGGACCTGTAGAGCCATAAGTTTATAAGGTTGACGCGGAATAGTTATCGAAAGCCTTTGGTCTGACAAGGCATCGCTATAATTTTTCAAACATTTTTCTTATAGACATTTTTTATGTGCAGGAAAGCGCGCTGTTGGAGAATTTCATCAACATGGGCCGTACGAGCAGACGCCGAAGCTCAGCTACATCTTCTAATGCAGACTCTGAGAACGTCACCACCACCACAAGGCGTTCCTCGCGACACAACAAAGCTGCCTTGTCTCAAGTGTCTCCGAGCTCTGAACATTCACCCAGTAAAAAATGTGAGGAAGTGGAGCCGAAAGTGGAGAGTCTCGATGCTTGTGAGACGGTCGCTCCTCCCGCAGACGTTGAGCCTGTCAAGAACGGGGATAGAGAAGTGCTTGATGAGAAGGCACCAGAGGCAAAGGTTGAAAAGACGTCTGAAGCAAATGATGCGGTGAGAAAATCTTTTTATTATCAATATACGTTTGATGGAACTGGAACATTTTGCTCCGGTAACTCTAGACAACTGTTGTTAGCGGGTTTATTTTATTTTTTTTTTAAGTCCTGAATTAAAAATATTAATGAGTTACAAAACATTTAAGATATGTTGAGGAAGTGATCTTTGTATTTCCTGTATTTTTCAGGTGTTATCGGTTGCCTATTTTTCATTTCTTAGCCGCAGCATTTATCAAATTTTGTTCGGACCTGCCACGTGTCGAACTAACCATGCTTGTATTCTGTGCAGGACGGTGAGGTCTCTGGAACATCTGAGGCCCCAAAACCAGGCCGTGGTAGCAGAGCGGGGTCGCGGTCACGTAGTGCCGAGCCTGGAACGCCCGTACGGCGGTCGCGACGTCTGTCCCGCGGTGGTAGCGTGGAGCCCAGCGACGATGAATGTCATGCCAACAACGCTGTGGCCACGGCAGGAGAGCTCGGTACCATACCAGAGCAGGGCGAGTCGCCTGAGAAGAAGATGAGCGTCGCTAGTGAACCATTGGCTGTTAGAGCCAGTCCTCTTACTCAAAATACTGAAGTGGAGGAAAATACTGAGATAGTTGAGGACCAAAAACCAGGTGAAACGGATCTTGTACCCGAACAAGGAGATTGCAGTGCTAAGGACGGCAAAGAAGAGGACCAGATTACTACTGTCGAAGAGAGTGCTGTTGCTTCTGACGTAGAGCAACACGACGATGGCGTAGTGGACGCTGTGAAGCTAACACTTGAGACTAGCGAGACTCTCGACAAGTTTGACGACAGCGACGAGGATGAGATGGCGCTTGCAGCTCCTGCAGCGGCCAAGAAGAGTCCAGAAAAAAAGCGTCATAGCAGCAGGTCTGATTTGCGGTGTGGCTTATTCAATGCGCAAGAAATGGCATAAATACTCAAAGTTTACTTCATTGTTTTTAATGCTTTATTTTTCAATTTTTCTCTTCTTGTTTGTTTTTTTAATTAAATTCTTGTAACAGTTTAATGAAGTATAATAAAATTTTTCTGTCTGCATGAAACCAAGTGGCTTGCGCAAGTATTGATTCAACTATAATTAAAATTGTTAGTATTCATTTTTTACCATTAATTATTTGAGCCCTTGGTACTTTAACCAAGTTAAAATTCCCAGGTCACCTCGCAAACGCCGTCGATCTTCATCGTCATCGTCATCTGGGTCGGAGAGACACGGCAGTCCACGCCATCAGCGCCGTCGCGAGTCGTCTAAGGCGTCCAGAAACAACGACTCGTCTCCTAGAAAATCTTCTGCTGGCGACAACCGTTCCTCGTCCACCGCAAAATCTAGTCACACAGAAGTTGATGGTTCAAAACGTTCCCTAAGCCCGGTCAAGAACGGCAACGTGCCTAGAAAGTCAACTTCAGATTCTCAGAGCCAATCGCCTGGAAGTGCTAAAAAGAAACACTCGACCATTGTTCTCGAAGGCCTTGAAGTTGAAGGCAAAAAGTCGAGAGATGAGCGTCGCTCTGATGGACGCCAAAATAAGAAGTAAGAATAATTGAATTCCTTTTAATTGCTTCTAAGATGACAGTATTGTGGTTTTGTGGTGAAAGGTTTCTTCTTCAAATAGGAATTGATAATGAATTGAAGCTGAAACGTGCATTATTCGAATTTTTATACTTGAACTCTGATTTGACGAAATAGTCTAAATATAAATACATTTTTATTCACGCTTGTTTTTTGATTTGTATCGCTTCAATGTTAAAAACATTATACTAGTCAGTCTTTTAATCCTCGTTTGTATTTTCAGGGATGACAAGGAAGCTTCGAGGCGAAAAGAAGAAGAAGAAGAGGAGCCTGTTGATGATTTTGATTACTCGTCTTTCAAATCAACACGAAGAGGTATGTTGAATTTATTCATGAAATTCAATTTAGATTCATCAGTACAGCCATTAACCATTTATAATTTTGCAATGAGTTTAATTATTTCATTTCAAATAAGTATGCTAAACAGAGGCTATTGTCGTATCGTAATATTGCAGAAAGCTGCTAATACGATGACAGTATAAGTAAACTCTGTACAGTTCGATTTGGTTTGACAGTTTTTGTCAATTTTCACCCTTGATTGAGTGGCACCAGCAATAGAATAAATTTTAGTTCAATTAATTGAGCAAGTTTTGCATTTTGTTTGTGGTATTTATTTACAAGTGCATCTTCGATAGATGATCTATTTTCTGTTACAGTGTCACTGTCTAAGAAACTTCGAGACCCGGACAACGAAAAAGCCAAGTCTCTGCTGACTGCTGCCCCCATAAGGTCTAGTGAACCAACTGTCGAACTCTCGTCTCAAAGCCTCAAGGGTCTGTTGCCTGACGTACAACCTATCCCCGAGTCCGAGCTCAAACTCGAGGAGGATAAAGAGGAAGAAGACCTTGAAGTACCTGAGGATAAACGGAAGAGTCTTGGCGCCTTGTCTGACTCGGAGCTTAAAAAGAGGAAGCTTCTTCTTCAAAAGAAGTTGCAAGGGCTTGAAGAGAAAGAAAGACAGGGGAAGAAGCGATCTTCAAAAGACGGTGAAAGGAAGTCGAAAGCTTCAGAGGTTGACGGCTATGAAAAGAGTGATGCTTATTCTGATCCTGAAGAAGAGGAACAAGCACTTAGGAAAGCCGCGCAAGAGTCCATGCGCGCCAAGCTCGCCAAAAAGGAAGAGCTGGCAAGGCGCCTTTCCAAGGACGATGAAACGCTGGAGAAAAAGAAAATTAGGAAGGAGAGGGAAGTACGTGAAGGGTCTCCTCCATCCAAAAAATCCAAAGACGGTAAGTGAAGCTTAGTTGTGTTTCTTGCTACATGACATTTTAATGAATAAGTTTTTCTATATACACTACGTGAATTCAAGGTTTGAGTTTAACAAGAAGCGCCTGATGCTTTCACGTCTTGACAAATGGATTACGAATTACAAAATTATCACATTATTTATAATTTTTTTCCAGATCGCGCAGTGCGAATGGTTGAAGGTCCTGCTGTGGTGGTCCGCAAAACTCCATCTATTGCACCAGCCAGGAACCCAACGAGCTGCGTTGTCATCATCAAGAATTTAACGCGTCCGTTCACGCTGCGACTGCTGCAAACGTTGTTGCAGCGCACTGGACGCATCGTTCAGCCTGACGGTTTTTGGGTCAACAATGTCAAGAGCGTTTGCATTGCACGTGTAAGTCTTTGGGCTGTATCAATTATATGTCTATAGCAGGGCTAGCCAAGTACAAAAAATATAATATCTTACAAGTTCAACTTATAATTAATCGATCTTATTATGATTTTAATTTCAAGTGAAATCTTCAAGTGAAGACACTTGATATGAAGTGAAAGTGAAATCTTCAAGTGAAGACACTTGATATGACACTGTCAAGTGATATGAAGACAGTTAATAATTATTCTAGGTGTAAAGGATTTTGGGCTTCTAAATTTCAGTTTTTATTTATGGCGGCTCTCTCATCGAGCCAAATTGCTGTTTCATTCTTCGTATCAACGATTGCATTTTTTGTAGTGGTTGTAATGTTGATAATAATTTTATATTGTAGTTGTGCTATCTCGCTTGTAAAGCTAAGGATGTGTTTCGAAAGAACAGCACAATTTGTTGAAAATTGCAAGGTCGAGTCGAGTGGCTTGAACTTGATTGCTTGATTTAGCTTGTACAGTTATGAAACATACTGAAAACTGGTCTCCCATTATTTTTCCTTTGTAAAACTTTACATATTTCCTCTCCAATCTTCGTGTTCAGTTCGAGAATGAAGACCAAGCCGAAGAAACTCGCGCGCATCTGCACGGCATCCAGTGGCCCAGCTCCAACCCCAAGACTCTCTTTGTGGACTTCACTACGCAGGTTTGTGATTAACTTTATCATTTGTCTTCTATTCAGTTGACTTGGGTCATCGTGTCATTTGTATTTTTGAAATAGAGGGTCATTTTGAATGATAGACCGATTTTAATAAATTGGTATTTATTTAAGTAACAATTCGAAATGAATCATTTATACACCAATGGAAAGAGAAGACTACTTTCTTTTAACCTATTCAAATTGGCGTACGGAATTGGGCGGGGGCGGTAGATGCAGAAAACTTTTTTGAATCAGTCCTGAGCGTTGAGTAGGACGCATAAGGCAGTGAAGATCTGGATCCACATTTCTGGCTACCGAGATCATCTGATCTCACTCAATGCGACAATTTCTTATGGGGTTACGACGTTACGTCAAGGAAGCTGTTTACGTCCCGCCTCTACCAGCAGCTCTGTTTATGTAATATGCTTTCTCGTGTGTGGGACGAGTTTGTCTGCTGTTTACGTCCCGCCACTACCAGCAACTCTGTTTACGTCCCACCTCTACCAGCAACTCTGTTTATGTCCCGCCTCTACCAGCAACTCTATTTACGTCCCGACTCTTCCAACAACTATGGTTGATTTGAAGAACCTGAGTGCTACGGGTTCATACATAAATAGAATTTATGTACCGAGTGCTACGGTGCACTCAGTAACAGAAGATATGCTTTCTCGTGTGTGGGACGAGTTTGTCTGCCGTTTAGTTCTTTGCCGTGCAGCACAAGGGGACATTGTGAATATTTATAAATATTTAAAAAAATTGAATCATTCTCTTTCCATTCATGTATAAATTATTCATTTTGAATTTATACTTAAATAAATACGAATTTATCAAATTATGTCAATCATTTAAAATAACCCCATAAGGTCATTTCATTTGCAAAAATATTAAATTCTATGTCATTTCAGTGGTATCTTTGAGATTCTCCTGTTTCATTTGAGTTCAAATATCAAGATGTACCATGTCATTCAATTGTACAGAATGTTCACATGGAATAAGATGGGTCTACAGGAAGTAAATTAATATTATTTTATTTTCATTAACTAGCATGATGCGCTGGATTCTAAATTAAAAATTACATTTAATTGGTGAAGAATCAAACAATTTTTTATCTGTTTGGGAGCCTTCGAAATGCAGTCTTGTGTTCAAATAATTTGTCTAATATTACTATAGGTCCTAAATGCAAACGTCTGAGCTTTTGGCTGGTTGCACTTGAAAGCTATTGATTCCTAGTAGAAAACATTGAACATGTGTCCTATTGTTTTCATTCTATTCGATTTAATGCTCGCTATGTATTCGTGTGTGGATAGCATATGTATTGTAAATTCAATTTATTTCCTTGCTTGCAGGAGGAACTGGAGCGCCACCTCAAGGAGAGCGGGGCTCCAGTTCTGCCACAACCGCATGAGCAACTCAGGAGGAAGGTAATAATGCTTTATTTTCATCTTCACGAACGCTGTTTGCAGCTAATAATTCACTAACAAACTTGTCTGCAATTTGGTAAGCTGTCTTCAGTTACCTCATTTCTGTTTGCTAATCAAAGTAACTTGTTAACACTATTGAAAATGAGTAATTTTTAATCTTGGTTTCAAAAATTCGTTTCTCATGAGTCTCGAGCTACAGTTGCACGTCGCTTGATCACAAGTGAGTTTGCGGACGTGCCTAGTGACTTCTTCAAATTAATTTTATATGCCTTTATTATTCGATCTAATTTTCTTATTTGTTGATTGTCATTTACAATTCTCTAGCGCATTAATTATTAATTCTAATTTTCTTATGTGTTGATTTTAAGTTCTAATTTTCTTGTGCGTTCATTATTAGTTCTAATTTTCTTGTGCGTTTTCTTGTGCATAATTTCCTTGTTCGTTGATTATTAGTTCTAATTTCTTGTGCGTTGATTAGAAGTCCTAATTTGCATAGACGACGACGACGATGGTGCGCGAGTGGGACCGCGTGAAGCTGGGCGAGCGTTCACCAGGAGAGCGCGAGCGGGAGAAGGAGCTTCAGAAGCGACGACGCGAGGCGGAGGAGCAGGACAACGAGCTGCTCAAGAGGGAGCGGGCCGAGGGGCGGGGGCGAGCGAGGAGCGACGAGTGGGAAGACGGGCGCCATGCGCACGACAGGGACAGGAAAATCGCCAAGAAGGGTAATCGTCGAGAAAATTCAATTATAGTATGAAATGCTCTGAACTTGTGCGTAAAATCTCGTTGTTAACTTCTTTCTAATGAAAATAAACTGTCGGGTATGTTCGAGTCACCACTACTACAGTGAATTTTAAAATTGGAAGATGTTCAGGACCATCAGTTTTATGCTTTAAGAGTACTTGCTACTTCAAGCGTTGATGTGAACAAAATAAGTGCATGGTTGGGAGGCATTAACCTTCATACCTCTTTATTTTACAGAAAGTGCTCCTCCCCCTCCTCCTGAAAAACCAGTTCCTAAATCTCTCGATGATCTCTTCAATAAAACCCAAGCGAAACCAAGCATTTATTGGCTTCCTCTTAATAAGGAACAGGTGGGTCGAAGGAACTAACACGAATGGTAAATCATTCCCTTAATATGTATAAAATTGTTCGACTTCATCTCGCTACAGAATTGGTTATCAATTCCAATGTTAAGATTTTTGTTAGCCTAAATACTTTTAACTAGTGACATATTCAGGTAATTTTTTCCGATGCTCACAGATTGCTGAGAAGGAAGCTCTGCGACGCAAGCTGATGGCTGAAAATGAGAAGCAACTTGCTGCGCTCAAATTGAAGCATGAGAAGGAGCGAGAGGAAAGGGAGAAGCAACGACAGGAGCGAGAGAAGCAGCGTGAGGCCGAGAAGAAGGAGCGAGCAGCAGCAGCAGCGGCGGCTGCGAAGAAGAAAAAGAAGAGCAGGAGCCGGTCGAGGTCCAGGAAGCGGTCGCCCAAGAGGTAGCCGTCGCCTGATCTTTGTGTCATAACCGAGTAAACATGTATTCTTGATATTATTGATACCAACGTCATCTGAAGAATTGTCCGACTCTTTGATAATTTAAATCAACGAATTCTCTGGTAGTTAATCGCACGCGTATAAATCAACAAATCCTGCCATCTAAAACTAATTTTTGATATTATTTATGTACTTAAGAATGATATTGAGATTTTTTTTGTTATAAAATATAATGAATGATATATCATATATAACTTTTCAAACTTGTGATGTGAAATCAAGGATTAACAAGCCAATATCTTACGTTTCCCCTCCGTCTTTTAATGTAAAGAAAATATTTAGTTTCCTCTACTCTAAAATCTTTTCGACACTAGCAAAGTATATTTTACTTTGCACAGTAGTGACCGCATTAATTTCTCTTATCCTCTTGAACATGCTTTACATCCTAGCGGTTTCTTTGACCACAGGTCCTCACGGTCCCGCCGTCGCAGTCGTTCCTGAGCATCCGGGCAACGGCCCCTACTGCAGTGACAGTGCAACTAAAACTTGATGAGCTATGTATGTCCACATTCGATTTTTTATGAAAACAAAAGAGTAAGGAATTAAAATCTCATTGTGTAACGTAGTAATATTTCCAGCAATATATTTGCCTTTTTGAACTTGAGTTAATGGATATTTGAGGTGGTTCAGCGCATCAAGATTTAGTTGCCATCACGATCAAGGAGGCCCATCGCAGGAAGAACCATCTCGGCTTTCTATCTTCAAGATCTAGAGCCGCTCTGTAAAGGTTCATAACTTTTTCTTCTCCAGGATAAAGTAATCATTTTTGGGTTATTACTTTTGCGTTGTGTAGGCGTTTCATTTTTGTGCATAGTTCACAAAATTATTACTCGTTTTGTCAGCATTTTCTTGTGGAAATTTTTTTGTCGTTAATTATGCGTTGAGTATCTTCACAGCGGTTCCTGCCTTCAACTCCACTGATGTACACTGACCAGATCACGTTTGATTCTTGTGGAAAAGTTGTTCATCTTAACTGTTGTTCGAGTAGATGTAAGCATTAACGCTGGCGCAATGCAGTGCCTGTGAAGCTGGTCTGCTTATTACATCAGGGGAGTTGGGTGTTGGCGCCCCCAATAACCTGGTACGAAGCCTCGTCCATGTCGTGCTCTCATCGACCATCAAGTGTTCGGAATGTGACGGGCGTCTGCCGCATTTCTACCAGAACTTCGATGAACCTAAGGATGGTGGATGTTCGCATTATTTTCTTCTCGCTGATACAGCTACTTCTCTCACCGTAGTTTGGCATCGCTTCTAAAATGACCTCGGTCTTTTTGGACTTAACATTTTGCTCGTCCGTGCACCGAGAAGAGCTTAATGACTGCCGCAACAGAAGAAGTCGTTCAAACTACCACCAAGAAACAACGAATAAATTCTGGTGGCAGCCGTGTTGTCAGTAATCGCAAGTGCGGTGTAAACTTCGAATTCGTGTTTGGAGTGTAAAAAGACAAATATTGATTCGGCTAGTGCCATGGGTGCATTGTCTGACAAACGTACAACTTTGTTCATTGTGGAACATTTATTAAGATAATAAGCGTTTATTAGTACTCAAAATAAAGTACAGATATGATTGTGGACGGTTTTTTTTTCTCCCAACTTTCTAGCTATTGTAAGTTTATTTCAATCATGCTTCATTGCAGTGACAGAAGAAATCATTTTTATGGAATGGAAGGAAATGACTTTTTTCGATAATGATCATTTATTAATAATCATTGTATACACAGTGACAGCTGTTGATGTTTACTGGACCAAAAAGATTGCAACCGTTGTTAACCTAATAATCTCAACAATTAACATCGGTAGGCACCACACTTAATTCCTTAAACATTGGCTTGCACCATTGCATTTAAATATTTTACAATCATTGATGACTATGCAAGCACAGAGTATACTGGAACTCGCTTACTAACGCCGCGTTTTATTTCTATCAAGAAGAACAATAATTTGAGAGAATGAGCTTTGGCAATATGTTCATGGAAAGCAGTTCCTGGAAGAGAAGCTTGAAGGCGTAGGGGATTATCACGGTCGAGACATTGACTGATGATTCACAGTACTCGCACCAACCTAAGTAGCCAAGCAAGCCGCACTTGCGACAGACGTCGGCGTCGAACGCATCTGAAGAGATCATCAAACGCTCGACCAACAGCATACTGCACGGGGGAAAAAGCTAGGATAAAGGCCGCACCAGACGTACTTGATGATAATAGTAACAATGCTATAAGTATAGATCAAGTTCAAGTACACACACAAGCACCTAAAGGCGCATATATTTCCTGCTGCTGAATATTATTTGCCATATCAATCCAGGCTCGACATCTTAGTGTATGCGCGAGCTTTCCTATTCAATTCCGTTTGAATGGTTAATAAAACAGCTCCTAAACTTCGTATTACGGTAATACATTTGTATAATAGTAATAAAAAAGCTACGGAAAAATTCAAGGCATTTTAAAGTGAACAATTATGAAAGGGATGACATTCATACTGTGGCGAATTTGATTGGGTGACTAAGCACAAATTGTGGATTCCACTGGTATATATAATGAAGCAAGTTAGAGTTGCGGGCGCTCATACTGACCTGCATCCATGAGCGATGAGGCAGTCGCGCTCCATCTCTCCAAGACGCAGTCCACCGTCACGCGCGCGTCCTTCCGTAGGCTGGCGCGTGAGTGTAGCTCGGGGACCTCGCGAACTGCATAAATATTCTTTATTCACATAGGAGAACATGACATCAAATCAAATTCTAAAATGCTACGGAAAAAAACTTGAAATTAAACTTTCAAAGATATTTACACATTCAAATAAAAAAGAACTTGCAAATGCAAATTGCATTGTAGGAATTCAAAAAAGCTATTGGATATAGCAAATTTGTAGGAGAACCATTTATTTCAAAAGCATGTCGTTTCTCATACCGATAAGTTTTCAGGCAACCATGCTCTCACCTGAAATTGTACGTTTTTTAATGAACGTAAAAAATTTTAAAGTAGTAACTTCGTTCTTGAAAAGCTCACTGATCTACTTGGTCGTTCAAGTAAAATTCTGCATGAAGTTTTTCGATTTTATAAATGTTTCCAGTGAAATTAAAATTTATTGGAATATAATACATATTTGGGAATGACTTTCATATCATACAGGGTTATTCTAAAATGATGGACCCAATCTAATAAATTGGTATTTATCTTTGTATACATCCAAAATGAATAATTTACACACCAATGGAGAGAGGATTCAACGTGTTTTTTAACATTTATAAATATTCAATATGTCCCCCTTGTGCTGCACGGTACACATCTAAACAGTAGCCAAACTCGTCCCACGCACGAGAAACCTCTACCAGCAACTCTGTTTATGTCCCGCCTCTACCAGCAACTCTGTTTACGTCCCGCCTCTACCAGCAACTCTGTTTACGTCCCGCCTCTACCAGCAACTCTGTTTACGTCCCGCCTCTACCAGCAACTCTGTTGCCGTCCCGCCTCTACCAGCAGCTGTGGTTGATCTGAAGAACCGTATCACTGCTACGGTGCACTCAGTAAAAGAAGATATGCTTTCTCGTGTGGGGGACGAGTTTGGCTGCCGTTTAGATGTTTGCCGTGCAGTACAAGGGAACATAGTGAACATTTATAAATATGTTTTAAGAAAAATTTAATCTTTCACTTTCCATTAGTGCCTGAATTCTTCATTTTAAACTTATATTTGAATAAATACGAATTTATTAAATTGAGTCATCATTTATAATAACCCTGTATTAAAGTGGTACTATTATCATCTTCAAGAGGAGTTTCTTTCATAAAGGCATAGCCGACAATCATATAGGAGCAACACAAACACTTCTACGACGTACAGAAAATTACTCAATAAATAGATAAAATCTGACTGATCTTGGCATTTAGATATGTTAACCGTTAACCGTATTTGATATGCGTAGGTATACAATACATGGTCTCTTAAGTAGACAAGCAGTTGAATAACTTTAAGAAATTTTAAAACATTTTCGCTGCCTTATGGGAGTAGTCCAGGGCGAGCGACCTGTTTATTCTGAATTTGTGAATAGTGCTCATGCTTAACACTATATAGCTTTCTTACCGAGCGTGCATCTTATCCATGACCATGTGCTTAAGTTTCTGATAGTAGACCGGACCCATGAAGATGTAGGCAGGCATAGGGTCTCCCGTTATTCCAGAGTACAGCATATCTTTGCCCTGAAAAAAACACAATTGGGCACAATATTGCACGATTCACACATTGCAAAACAAAGTATACATCATATTACATTAAAAGCACACACTAAGCGAAGGGTACAAAATTTCACGATTCGCAAATTGTTGAAAAAATTAGATATCGTGTTAAAATATTTATGATTCAGATAAACTATTGCTATGACAATATCACCAGAAATGATCGAAGTAACTTTTAATTAAAATTTTTTCCAGCCAAGATGCTTATGATTATGGTGTGCTAAAGATCCCACCAGGTAACAAGTTCCCAGAGCTCGTTTAAGGACACCAATACATGGCCATGCTGAAAGCACCACCCATTGACGGCTACCAAAAGCCAAACACCAGCGACACTGAGAAATGAACTGAGTTTGCCGAGGCTCGAACCCACGACTAGCTCCTCTCATCTCGGTGCCGCTATCACTTCGCACACAATGGCGCTAACAACTGCGCTACAGTAACGCTATTAGTAGCATTATAACTTTTTAGCGACTTATGAAACAACGGTTATGTAAAATGCACGCGCCATAAATGGAGTTAAAATATGTGTTTCTAACATAAATTTGATAGTTAACAAATTCATTGCATGAATCTCGGTAGGTAAAAATCAGTTATTTAAACATTTAGACAAATTTTTCCAAATATATATTTTATCAACAGAAAACAATTCAAAACGTCTTACCTCGTAATTGAATCCTCTTTCGATCAGCAACTCAGATATTTCAGTCAGTGGAGTGCCACCGAATGCAGTGCCATAGTTGAAGTTGCCATTGATGGCACCGGCTTTGCTTGCCATGAACTCGAGCTGCTTGCCAACTGTCATACGAGACGGAAATCCATGCGGGTTCATGATCATGTCAGGCTGAATTCCGGAGTCCGAAAACGGAAAGTTTTCTTGATTAACAATGAGTCCGGTAACACCTTTCTGACCGTGCCGAGAAGAGAACTTGTCACCCAGTTCTGGACGTCGTACTTGCCGGAGCAAAAGTTTGAAGAGATTGAATTCTTCGTTATCAGCACAAACCATAACTTTCTCGACCATGACGTCTCCAGGTCCTTTATGAGTTAACGGAGTATCGCGGTAATCCGCTGCAGTCATCACGAACGGTTGTGCTTGTCTCGGGTTATTTTCTCCTGGAGCCTGGAAGTTGTTTTGTGTCACGACTGGAATTTTCTTGTTGATCATCACTTGCGCTGGCGAAACTCTGGCCCCAACTGCCGGCAAGCCATCATCGTCCAATGCTCTGTGCTTCCAAATCTTCTGGTTTGATCTCACATCCACAAGAGGTCCATCAATGATGTCCGAGGCCTGGTTGAAGTGACGTTTCATTGTACACTTGGCATTTTTGTAGACGATACAACGACCAAAGCCACGATCGAGTGAAGCCTTATTCAACACAACAGCGTCTTCAATATCGTAACCTGAGTAGCTCAAGACGGCAACAATAGAATTATGACCAGCAGCAACTTCCTCGAAGCCTATCAACTCAATAGTGCGCGTTTTGACTAATGGTTTCTGGTTGTAAATTAAATTGTGCATGACAGTGTCAAAGCGTTGCTGCTGGTTAAAGCCTATCGTGCCCATAGCTTGCTTACCCATAGCACACTGATAAGTGTTACGTGGAGACTGATTGTGATGAGGGTACGGGATGAGACCAGCGCAGACACCTAGGATAGTGAAAGGTTCTATTTCCATGTGAGTTGTATCTGTGCAGATATCTTTCTCACACATAGCGACGAGAGCGTCATTGAGCTCGTTGACGTCTAGGTACTCAATCAGTCCTTTGTGTAGGAAATCGTCGAAGCACATGAAGCCGCGGGACAACTTCTCCAGGTGCTCTGGAGTGACTAGAGGTTTGCTGTCTGTCACGATTATGTAAGGTCGACATAAACGACCTCCATCTGAGCTCACGTGCACTGCAAGGTGTTTGGTGTCAGTGTAGATTGACACAAAGCAGCTGACAAAGTTGTTTCGCCTGAGCAACTTTATGTTGTTGACAAGGATATCAGGGTACCTCGTCATTCCGATCACATTACCATTAACGAAGACCATGTACATTTCTGGGTTGGAAATGTCATTCCCGTAGAGAGTATCTATGCTCTCACAAGTGCAGTCAAAGCAAAGCTGAATCAAAGGTTCAGAATCCACTTCTGTCGTGATGTGTGTCATGAGTGCAAGATTTTTCACCAGACCACAAGATTCTCCTTCGGGCGTATCAGAAGGACAAATGACGCCCCATTGAGATGCTTGCAGAGACCTTGGCCCACTAACTTTGCGGGTCTTTTCAAATTGCGAATTCACCCGCGTCATCATTCCAAGAGCGGAAATATATGAGAGACGAGTCAGCACCTGTGTCACTCCTTGACGATCCATTTTAAATCTTTTGATGGTCCAATTTCCAGTCGAGATGGCATTTTCCAAACCAGACGTTATGAGATTCTTTAGAGATTCCAGATAAGTGGCTGCGTCCACCACAGTTACTTTACCCTTTGTTGAGAGACTTTTATCGACTCTTTGTTTCAGTTCAGTGTTGAGCCGCTTGAATAAATCCTCAAAAAGAAGTGAAAGAAGAGAGCCTGCAAGTTCCAACCGCTTGTTTCCATAGTAATCTCTGTCATCAAGGATGTTGCTGTCAGTCTGAGCATCTATCACTCGTCGTACCATGAGAGCCAGGTACACAGCTTTTCTTTTAAAGTCAAAGTTCTTGACAGGGACATGAGCCAGGATGGTCGTAGTGAGAAGGTCTCTGGCTTCGTCAATGGCACTTTTCTTTGGACCTCCTTTGTTGAGGAATCTTTTCTGATTGACTCTGTCTCCTATGTACTGCAAGGCTTGAGTGGGGGTAGCAACACCCTTCTTGTGAGCTTCAAGCATCGTGGCAAAGAACTCAATTTGATGGCGGTCACTACAGCCGATCATAGCCATTATCTCTTTTTCAGAAGCAAATCCCATGCCCTTGAATATAAAGATCACGGGAAGATCTTCTGTGAATGAGTTGTGCTTAAGGTAATAAATACCGTTCTTGAGGATGACGTTGGTGCGGACTTTTTTCTCGTGAGTTGAAGATGTCACTTGGCAAGTAATGCAACCTTTCTTGTCCTTTTCAACAATCATTCTGTTCTTCGACAGTTGTTCTTGAATTAGAATTACCTGCAATTTTTCAATACAATATTTTCATAGTGATCGTCCACCAAAGAACGTTATAACATTATGCACCAACACAAAATATTATTATGCTATAATGCATTAACACAAAAGATTATTATGCTATAACGCATGAACACAAAAAATTAGATAAAAAATATGATAACACACTTGGTTTACGACCTGAAACCGTGTCTAATATCTTGCCTATTGTGCTGACTAGCAAACCACAATTAAGATTAATACCAGCATGGCACAGGGAAATCATATGATGGTGCATCGAAATATCTGCACGCACTAAATGAATCTAGTCAGTGTGACTGGCAAGTTATGTATGTAATAAAAATAGAGCAAAACTTTAATTCAGAATACATTATTGCATAAAATTATAAACTATCTAAAACTAAAAAAGTTGCATAAAACATTTTACTGAATAGAAGTCCTAGATAAACAAAACAGAACGTTAAGTCCTAGATAAACAAAACAGAACGTTAAGTCCTAGATAAACAAAACAGAACGGACTTCTATTCAGTAAAATGTTTTATGCAACTTTTTTAGTTTTAGCCTTTATTCTTAAACTTAGAAGAACTCCTCGAGATGTTGTGAATTATAAACTATCATCAGATTAACTTTCATCAGGCGATTGACCTGAGTAGTAGTAGAAGTATGATGGTTTGCTAGCGCTTCAGATATAGAGCTATTTCGCGCCAGAGTTCAGAATATAACATCGGCAGCAAGGCGGAAGGTCTCAATAAGAAGTCCCCCCTGAGGGGGCGATTGACCTGACTTTATCTTGGTTTAAAGCACTTATAAAAATCAATTCCTCAGCCAACTTTTATGACTTGACTTACCTTCTCTTGCCCTTTGACAACGAAGTAGCCTCCCGGGTCAAGTGGGCATTCATTGAGTGCAGCAAGTTCAATGTTGTTTGAACAAGCAGTGAGGGCACAGTTGCTGGAACGAAGCATGATCGGCATGCGTCCTGGAAAGAAACTTAGGTATGTAAATCTTTGTTATCGATTCAAACAATAATAGTGTCCTTAAATTGCACATTACCTACATCTTATGACTACAAAAATTTTGATTTTTTGACATTCACTTGTCACTGATGCCTCTATTTTAGAACAACACCATGATTTCCAATGTTAAATTAAATTGTTAAATAGTAACGTCATACCCATGCTTGTTTTGAGATTGGTGGTGTAGCGATTATTTTATTTCAAAATCATATAGAAACCGAGTTACTTGTCAAATTCAAGATTTAAAATGAGTTAAATAAGCTATATTTTAAATGGATTGGATGCAAAAAAAAAAGTAGATAAAAACCTGTAAATCTGGAACAATATGGTTTATGTAAAGTACATTGAAATTTATTTCATTTCTTGAATAATTTAGCACATCAAAACTAAGCCAATTCTTTTGAGTGATTTATAAAAATTAATTCAGAAAAAATACATATGTTGATGAAGGTAAAAACTGAATTCAATACATATACGGTACAACTGAAGATATAAATTTACTTGTAATAATAGTTTTGACAAGAGGCACAACAATTCAATTTTATTGCAGGATTCATAAATGTGGTATAACAGAACGATTTTAATGCCTTTTGGTGACAAATTAAAATAATTTAGGTCAAGGATAACCCAATAGTATGTAGATTTTAGCAACAAACTCACCAATGCAAACATTTTTCCTGTTGACTCTCTTGTCACCTCGCAAGTATTCTATATCCACAACAATTGGAGCAGCATAAGTCAGATCTCGGAGCCGGCACTCATGAGGACTTGTCCCACTATTTTCCATGTTGTTCTCACACAGGTTAGGTTCTAGAACTCGAACATCATTGTACCTGGCCATGAATCAAATGTAGTTATAATTATATAATTACTGTACAATTTTATGAACAAAGATATGCAAATAACTACAAATTTTTCTATTATGCGTGAAGTAAATGTAAAGAATTTAAATGCATTATTAGAATATTTATGTCATAACATGGCAAAATGTAATAACTTCAGCAATAATAATGTTACACAAGGCCATTCAACCGCCAGCACAATAAAATCACCAAATAGGCACTCACTTTACAAAGAACAATGGATCAGCATCACTGGTGACTTTGCTGTTGGCTTTCACTATATTCTTGATGTCCTGGTTGATGAGGTAATTAAAGGAGTCAATGTGTTGCTTCATCAAACCCTTTGTTCGCAGAAACGCAGGAACCAGCAAGTGCTTTGCCTGAAAAATCAACAAAAATCAGAGTTGATCATTGGCAATTCTCATTTATTGTCAAACAATTCTCAACAATTGCAAAGGCACAATAAAATGACACAAAATTTTTCACAAAAAACTCAAACTAAATAAAATATAATTAGGTATTAAGCTCATACCTAATTATGAACTTAAATGACATTTACACCTAGTGGTCTTCAAATAAAAAAATATAAATAAGTTTACATAGAGAAATTTTTTTGAAGCATATGGTTATGATTTCTAATAATATAGTTACTGCTGTACTGAATACAATAGTAATTTTTCAAATTCCATTAATGTGTGATCTAGGCCCTGATCTAGACTAGTGGTCCACCATTTGCAACTGTGATAGGTAGGTGTGCAACCAGGCATAGAATAGATCTACTTTCCAAGTCACAAAAACAGCTTTTCCACTGTTTAATCATTAAGAGGATTTTAAACTTGTGGGATTGTGTGGGATTTTAAATTTGCAGAGCACACTAAACCTGCACAAAACTGGAAAATGTGGCAGAAGCCACCCAAAAATGAAACAAAAATGCCTGTGCATGTGGGAAATTTACAAAGAGGAAAGCCTCCTGCAAATGAGCCAAAAAATCCTATGCTTACCATCAATTTCATTTGTTCCTATGGCTGCAAGATCGTGAATCTTGACAAATTTCATTTAGCGGAATGAATGGAAATATAACAACTTTGCTTTTAATTTTTAAAAATTACTCAATTAAAAAACAATTTGTAGGTATATACCTATAATTAATGACAATGTCTGCCCAATATTTCATATTGGGCTAATTTTGCACATTTAAATTGCTCTTCCCTAAATTTGGTCATCAAAAATTCTGGAAAATCAACAGCAAAATGATCAGTGTATATTACCTGGATTTTTGGAAAATTCTGTCCAGCTTGTATGACCAATTTAAAGGTTGTAACCACTGACCTAAGGTCAGCATGCACCCAATTTCAATTCCTGCTGAAGTGCTGATACTTTCAATTGAGCTTTATTTATCGCTTAAAAAAACTATTTTACATGCTGCCGCTTTCAGGTGTGGAATTTATCTACATTTCAAAAATTTGCAATCCACAACTAGAGCTTTTGTGCTACTTTTTTGTTTTGGAGCAGCAAGATTCTCCCTAAATGAATTACCATCTATCTAATTGTTAATAAAACTGTACAATTGGGCTGCAAGATTACAAATGTATTAAAAATTTGTCTCTTTAGAGCCACAAAATTTTAATCATCAGTTAGGTTAGAAAATTCCAATCTGGCCTGCTTTAGAACAATACATTTTCTATTAATCACAGCTTAGTTTAAATATAATAATAATGAGTATTTTCAAATAATAACGGTTCTATACTAAATGCTTGGAAAAAACAATATAATGATATTTATTAAATAAAAAATCAAATCAGAAGACAGAAGTTAAGTTATGTCCAGATTTCCAAAATCCGAAAGTGTAAATAATATTTCAGTTTTCAAAAGGTTCATGAATCAATCAGAATCATGATAAACATTCAGAAAAACATACTGCTGAAATACCATAAAACAGGGTAACCAGGACCATTGTCCTAGTTCAAATTTTAATGGGGTGCCGGTGACCACAGTGGTCAGACCACTGGACTGAGTCACTGACCAGTGGCTTAATCTTAATGACTTTGACCATTGACAGGCCAGAGTCACCAGACAAGTGTGACTTGACAGACTTCAATGACTTTTTGGAACATATAGTTTTTTCTTAGGTATATTTCAAAACAGTCCAAGTCACTCTGCCAATGGTCCAAGTGATGGCCCTGATGGGTTTTCAGGCATTTTTAATTCTTCTCACCAGACTCACCTCAATAGTGTTGATGGGTTTTTTAAGCTCATTCTCTGGCATGCCCATGAATTCTGGTATTGATGAGGCATGATGAGACCCTATTTTACTCTTCTTGGCAGAAACAGCTGCCATGATTAGTCACTAGCCAGTCAAATCTGGCACCTGTCCTTGCAATGAAAATAAANGGTGAAGGGTTGCCAGGGGCAGGAGGTACTATGGAAGCCAGTGAGGGAGCTGGTCTCTGAACAGGGTTTTGTGGGCCTGAAGCAGTAGTCTTTACTGATTTCAGGGCATCTCGGTACAAGAGCTTAACCCTTTACGAGCTGAATTATGTTTCGAAAGTGGAAAAACAATCTGAATTACTTTTCAGATCACGCGCAGCCTTTGTGTTGTACTGGCAGTAGTGGCGCGCCTACTCCATCGCACGTCGTTCAAACGAGTTCACCACATGTGACACTACCATCACACTCGCGGCTAGACTCCAAACGTGTAATTACTCTTGGTAGAAGCTTTTATTTTCTGTGTGACGAATTTGTCACACCAGGGCTTAAAGGGTTAAGGTGTGAGCAAACCTTTTCAACTTGTTTTGCTTGTTTCATATGACAATTGAGGACAACCCCCATAATTTGCAGTATGTGGACCTCCACAATTGCAGCAGTGTGGTCTTCCTGTATTAGAAGTTAGAACAGTCCTTCACACTATGGGCCCCACTGCATGCAACACAGCGTGGGGGACCCTTGCAGCTAATGGCACTGTGCCCAAAGTATTGGCATCTATAACACTGCCATGGGTCAGCCACAAAGGGGTCAACTTTAAATTGGTGGTAGCCAACATACAGATGATCTGGCAAAGTGCCTGAAGGAAAGTTAATTTTGAACTTGGAGATTTTCAGGATTCCTTTACCCTTTAGTATTTGCTCGGCTGTTGCGTCCTTGTAACCTAAATCTCTCAGAGCAGATGTCAGTTCCTCATCAGAAACATCTTCCCCTAATGGCCCAATAACTCAAACTGATACAGTCTGATTTACTGGAAGGCGGCATTTGACATTCCAGGAACCAAGTTTGGTCACCCTTAAGAGCTGGGTCAAATCATTAGGAGATTCATCTTTCATTGAAACAACCAGGAGCTGACGCCTGGGGTTCCTAGAAATGTGGCCAATACCAGCTTTGCGCCTTTGCCAAAAGGCGAGTTTGCAAGAGCCATGCTTAGAGAGATTTCATTAGAGAAAAATTTGCTCAAAGGACGGGCATTAGGGCCATCAAGATCTGCAACAGGCTCTATTATAACTATTTTAGAATTTGAATCAGAGCTCTCTGGGTATGACTGATGTACACGTACAGGAGGCTGAGATGAGTGAGATCCCAACTGAGCATTGGTTTTTGGTGAGGCAGCCACAGAGGTAGGTATATCAACATCAATATGGCCTTCCATTGTGGGATGAAAGCCCTCAAATGTATCACCAATATCAAGGACTTCAATGTCATCATTAACCAAGTGGTCTCTTACCTCATTGC